TGGTCAGTTGGGTGAAAAGCTAGGTAGCCTTTGATCGTCAGACTTTCTCTAGAGCAACACCTTCACAGGCTTCCTCTGGTGGATGTTAAGGGAATGGCAGGTGGTTGGATTGGGCTCCTACATTTCCTCTTGGGAAATGTCCCATCAGTTTTAGGTCCACAGGCTGACAACTCATCCGGAGGTGTGTGGTTAAAGGCCTGCTCCTCCCTACCTCCTGAGGAGGCTGAAGAGGCTGGATATTCTGGGCTGGCTTGGGAGCTCAGGTTTTTCTGGAAGTTGCAGAGCAGTCTGCTTCATCTGCCGTCTGAGCTGGGTTCTGGTCCTTTACCCAGCCATCACCCTGCCCACTTGTTGTCCACCCCACTCTCAGGGCCCTCATAGGTAGGATATTGGTGGGCAGAGGCACCAGAGCAGCTGTGGATGCCTCTTCTTTCCTCTTTGAAGAATCTGGTGCTGCTGCCGATGAGGGCTACTTCATCTATTAAACCCAATACACTTGTCGCAGCTGCTAAGCCCCCGTAAGCCGCCGGGCGCCGTGTTTGTGATGGGACTGACAGTGCATGGAGGAGGCTGATTATACACGATTCCATTTCGCGGGCCCAGCAATGTAATTTCACAGGGCGATCAGCGTTTGCATGTAATAGCAGGCTGTGCTGAGGTGTCAGAATATTAAAGGCGCTAATGGCAAAGCTCCCTGTTACACAGGGGGCCACCCGCCGCGCCTACGGCAGGGCTGTGCGGCAGGCCCGTCGCAGATGGCTGGCCACTAAGCTAATGGGGCAGCAGCCAAGGCGGGCAGAGCCACGAGAGGGGAAAGCCAGCCGGGAGCAGCTCGGCACCTGCTTCCCTGTGCGTGGAAATTACAACAGCCCAAGGGAAGCAAGATGTGTGTGCCTGCCTGGTACAGGGTAGGGGTGGGCTGGTTTGGTAGACCCAGCATCTTTCACCAACTCCACCTAGCCTCATGGCTCATCATTGGTGCTGCTGTGGAAAGACTTGGAAACTCCTCAATCATCCTTCCACCCTCCCCATCCTCTGGTCAGGAACACCAGGAGTGAGATGCTGACTGCACAGCTGGGCAGGTGGACCTTGAGAACTGAGAGAGGTGCAGCTGGAGAAGTGACACCCAGGGAATTTGGAACCAACACTGAGAAAGAGGCTCAGGACAAGGTTTTGGAGAGAGCTCTTAAAACAGATTTCTGGCATACCCTCCTCCCCAGTCAAGGTCAGGAAGCTCTGGGCCCCTTCTCCCCAACTCCCGATAGGCTAGCAGAAGAGAAGGAGAGAGTGGGAAAGGAAGCAGGCATAAGTGAAAGTGAGGACTGAGACCCCTTGGCACTGCCTGCTGCTGGCATACAGACTTGGGTGGCACAGCCTCAAAATGCGCTTCCTTCTGACTGAGTTGACTGCCCTAGCCACACCCTTTTCCTTTGTCTATTTTTCTGCCTAGAATGTTGTCCTCCCCTGTCATCTGTACTGTGGCCTTTCAGTTTCATTCCCTCCCTCCAGGAAGCTTTCCTAACCGCCTCCTACCCCACATGGACCTGCTTGTCTTCATTGTCCCCTGTGGACACTTCCATAGAATTTGGCCTCCCTGGTCCTCCTGTTCTGAGGAGTCGCTGGGTGCCAGCCTTGACTCCCTAGCCAGAATCCCTGAGCTAGTGATAGCCCATGTCACTCTGCCTTGAGCAGGACTCCTAGAAGGGCTCTGCTAAGGTTTATAAACAGGTGTAATCTCTCAAGGGGGCCATCCAGAGGGAGCCGGGAATGGCAGGATGGGCAGAGTCATCTGAGGGAGGGTCTGGGGCACATATGGGTGTGTAAACAGAGTGGTTAGGGTACTCCATGGTGTGTATGTATCTGGGGGAGAGGAGATGGGCATGTGGGTACAGGTGTGGAAGGGCAGCAGGTGCAATAGTCTAGATCATACAGTGGCAGGAGAACAAGTTGCTATAGGACCCTCTGGGTTCTCTGGGTGACTGTCTGACTGGTGACTGTGCCCAAGGGGTACCCAAGATGTCAGGAGCTGTGAGGGGGATTGAGGTGCTAGGACCTGGTAATGGGCCAAGGATGGGTCTGTGAGACAGGTGATCATATCCAAAGGAGGAGCTTACTCTGCAGGGGTGTCAGTACCCCCCCACACACACTCAGACATGCCTGGGTTCTCAGCAGGGGCAATAGGAGGAGAGCCCAGGCTGAAAGAGAGCAGTTTTAATTAACCGTTTTTAATATCATTTTGGACTTTGGCTGGTATGTGAAGGCCCTGCTGGAAGCAGCATTTGTAAAAATTAAATCCCTCTTATTAGGAGCTTGGCAGACCCATGTGCACATGCCACCCCCTCTCCCCGCCCCATGCCCCTCCCCCCCCAGGAAGTGCTGGAGGAGGCCATGTCACGGCAGCAATTGGTTATCATGCCTTATCTGGGAATATGAAACTGCGGCATAACACCACGCAGTGGAGACGCCAATTCATCTCGCCCTCGCTCTGACAAGCTAGACTGCCCTTCCTGAAAGGCATCCCTCAGGCGGGACCGCCTGCCACCTTGCCTGGTACCTCTGCTCTCTTGCCAAAGGCTCCAGGCTTGCCCTAGTCCAGCCTGGCCTTCCTGGGTTCTGCTTCCTTCCATCCCCCTTTCACACATCCCGGTCTGTGGAAGATCTTGGGGAGTCATAATTATAATAATAACCTAATCATGGTGACGCGTCAGGGCAAGCGTCTAATGTTATCTGAAGTGGTCTTCCCGCTTAGCTGCGATAAGACTCGGGATGACGTGCAGATAACGCTGAGCTGCCCTGTCCCTGAGCCGAGAGCAGAGCAGAGGGGCCTCAGCAGCCCTGACGCCCGCCCGCCGCTTTAAGCTGGAAAGCGGCAGCACCTGCTAATGCAAGTGTTTAATATTTGATGGGCTGGGATAAAGCAGGATCACCTTCGAATTGAATTGAGTGTCAGCCGAGAATCTATTACTGAAATTCGGGTGTGATTTGACAGCAAAGTAGACGATGTTATTCTTCACTAGTTACTGCAATCTTCTCCCCGACATCACTTAAATATTTTTTTCTTTGCTTGAGTAAACACACATTATCCTTCTTTTTTCCCCCTTCCTTCCCTTTTTCCTTTTTAGAGGGGAAAAAAAACCTATCCAGCTCGCCTTCTCCAGGCTGATAGAGTAGATTGTTATTTCTTTATTTGTCCTATTAAATGGAATTTCTGATCGTTTAATCCGGCTTTTGTAAGTGATTTTAAAGTACTTGAAAGGCAGCCGCCACTGCTCTCTGGCCCACTGAGCTCCAGCCTCAGCCCGGCCACGCTCAGCAGCTCTTCCAGCTGTGCCCCTCCCACTGGCTGTGTCCCCTTGCTTTCCCTGTCTACCCTGGCTCTAGGCCAGCATCCTAGGGCTGTCCTTGAGTCCCACTCTCAGCCCCTGATTTGTGGATACAGCTGTGGCTGGGAGACAGTTGGGAAGGGTTGATTGGAAAGTTGGGCTATGGCTGGCACTTCTGTGGTCAAAGAAAATGACTTTAGAAGGTGCTGAGTGTAAGTGCAGTGGCTGCTAGTACCTTTGGGGTGGGAAGGTTGATTCCTGCAGCTGGGAAGGAAGGGAACTAGCCCTCTGCCCAGCCTTGGGCCCTGACACAGACAGTGTCCAGCTGCGTGTCTATTGTTCTGATCCCATATTGAACCCTTAGAGGGGAAAAAAAAAAAACCTATCCAGCTCGCCTCTATTTGTAGTAGAATGGGGACCTCCAGACCCAGCAGCGGTCAGGGATACTACAGTGCCTGTCTGAGCATGCCTGAAAGTCACTGTGATTCCATCACTAAACCCACCATCCAACTTCTGGGATCTCATCCAAGCTTGAATCTCATTGCTACTGTCCCTCATGTTATTACCTTCCTGCCATGGGGAGAAGGGCAGCCTAGTGTTTGGGAACTTCTGAAGTTCTCAAATGAAGGAATGGATATTGTTTGAGGGGGGTCAACCAGCTACCAGGCTCATTGACAGAAGCCCAGGATTTTGTTGGCAGGCTGAGCAAGAATTAAATTCCACCTGGCCACATCATTGCATTCTAACCCATGTGAGTTTCTTCTTTCTGGGCCTTCGTTTCCTCGTCTGTGACATCAGGTAGTAGTGCCTGTAAGGACAGTCATGCTGTTCCCATCCTGCCTTGTGTTCCCCCCAGATGGAGGTTGCTGGCTGCCAGGTGGCGCGGTAGGGAATGGAGGGGGCAATGGAGTGCTAGGGGCCTGAGCAGATCGATGCCCCCAGCACTTCCTTCCCCAACCCCAGGAAAACAATTAAGTACAGATCGATGGGTGGCCGCTTTGAATATGCATAAGTGAGCACTTGACCTTCAGCAAAGCATCTGCTCCCCCCACCCCCACCACACACACACACACACACACACACACACACACACACACGAAACTCCCCTCACAGCTGCCTGAGTCAACCAGGTGCCCTCACTCCACTCCTCATTTGAGTCCCCACATGGCACTCAGCCCTTCACAGCTTCACCTGCTTAGAGTCAAAAGCACCTTGACCATGGGCAAGTTGTTGGCCAGCTCTTGCTTCAGTTCCTATCTGTGGAGTGAAGTGGTCTCTAAGGTCCTTCCTGGGACCAGTCTGTGTGACCAATAGGAAGTCCACAGAGTTCTGGGGAATCTGAGGAGAGGTGCACGGTGTAAGGGGTACCCTGGTAAAAGGAGAGTTTCTGATAAGAAGATCTTAATAAATGGGAGCTCTCTAGAGAGGAGCCCTGGTAGGAATACCCAGTGAGGGCTGATGGGGAGAAGCCCAGGAGAAAGAGGATTCTGGAGAAGGAAGGGGTTTTCTGGTGGAGGGGCCTTGATTAAAAGGGTACTTGGTGAGGGGGCTCTCACAAAATGGCATTATAAGATTACACCCTTGGTGGGAAAATTGGGGGGCTGGGGGAGACTTGGTGAGTTGGGCTGGTTCAGGGGTCAGGGACTCTGTTAACCACTCTCGCCTCCTGTCTTCCAGGCTTACAGCTTCGCCATGGGCTGCTGGCCCAAGAATGGACTTCTAGACATGAACAAGGGTCTCAGCCTGCAACACATAGGCCGGCCCCACAGCGGCATTGGTCAGTCCCTCTGCAAATCCCCCTGGCAGCTCGGTCAGTCCCCTGCCCACATGCCCCAGTCCCCTGGCACACAGAAGGTTTCCATGGCTCATTCAGTGCCCCCACAGGGTTCTCTCCATAGCTGGGGAAAGGAGGAAAGGGAGGATGGAATGAGGACCATTGGAAAGAACATCTCCAAACAACATTTCAGAGGAGGCTGGGGTCTGGGTTTTGGGTGAGTCACAAGTGGCCTTGGATTCAGGCCAACATTCCCCAACCCCCTTGCCCACATCCCTAGTGGGCAATGTCCTCAGGGAGGTGGGCACATGTCAGCTTACCCGTGGAGCTGGAGGAAGCTGTTTAATATTGTTTCAAGTCTGTGGCCACTAAACTGGACGATCAATGGGAGTTAAGGAGATGAATTATTTAAACCTCACCAGCTTTTAATTAGTCGGGGTCCTTCTGACCGATGGCTTCGTCCACAGGGTATTGACTCCCCTGTAGGAGCAGCAGCCTCCATTGAGTGGTGCCTGGGTTGGGAGGGGCCACTTGGGGTACCAGAAGAGGGTACACTTTCAGGAGATTCCTACTTGGGAGGAGACTAGAGTAGCTGTGATTTCCAGCACTTGGAGGCTCTGTGAGCTTCTGATAAATCAGCATGAATATGTGTCTGTGAGTATCATTGTGTCTGCCCATGCCAGACACTTTTAGCTGTGTGTCTGTGTAAGAGTATAATGTGTCCATGATTGTGTATAGCTGTTTGAAGGATGTGTATTCATAACAACATATCCGTATTTTTCTGAGTGCATGAGTCTGTACATGGAAGCAGCTACCAGCTTGTGTACCTATCTGTCAGAAAGAGTGTCTGTTCATTTCTCTGTCTCTCATTTTGTGTGTACATGCATGTGTGTGCATGCAAATGCTTCCAAGTGACATAGGCTTTGTTCCAGAGGAGGAGCCAGGGTGTTCCTGGGTGGTGCTGTGACCTTATCACAACTGGATTACTTTGGGGAAGGTATCCTTGGTGGGGACTGGAAAGATACATCAGGAGGTACCTGCTACAGACTAACCCCTTTATCCATTCCACATTCACTGGTGCCTACTGGGCACTGAGCACGCTCAGTAAAAATTCCTGTCCTCAGGGAGCTCACATCTTGGGAGAAAGTAGAGACTGAGGGCTGTGATAACCACATCTGGATTGCCCCAAGGGAGATTTTCCCTGTTCTCAGTTGCCAAAGTAGGTTCTACTTCTTCACTTACATCTTGCTGACTCCTGACTCCTGGGATGCCCCATATCATTTTTGTTGGGATATCCCCAGGCTCCCCAAGAGACTAGGGGAAAGAACAACAGGCCTGGGTAGGGGAGAATACCACCATAACAGCTACTCCCTCCCATCGCAGGTTTTCCATGCATCCTAGAGAAGACATTCAACCCAGCTAGGTGATATACTTGGAAGGTCAGCAGGAAGTTTTCTAGAGAAGAGGTAACTTGAATTGGAATGCTTGACAGATGAATAGAAGTTGCCAGGCAGAAAACAGAGAAGTAGAGAGACTGTGTACACAAAGGCCTATAGCCATGAGAAGCCCAACATATTGAGAGAACAAGTTCAGAAATAAACAAGTAGTTTCTCCATACTGAAGTAGAAAATTTAGGTTAGGGATCAGCTAGAAAATGGAAACATAAGCAGTGTCTTGAATGCATGGTTAAAGGATGGATCCCCCTTCCCCCTACCCAAGATTTAGAGGAGACATAGAATAGTCATGAGTGAACAGAGTTGTGATTCAGAACCAATGAGGCAGTTTGTGCTACACAAAATTAGTTCTTACTAGGTGCTCAATAAATGCTTATAGATGGATGGACAAAAAGCTGGGTGAGTAAATGAATCAGTTTGGAAGAGTGGTGAGAGGGGAGAGACCAGAGAAAGAAGACCCAGGAGAAAATCAGCACTGATCCAGGGAAGGAGGAGCTACCCATAATGGAGTCTAGCAGTGGGAAGAGCAGCAGAACTGAGTGAACACGGGCTACATGGCCTTAAGTTAGGTATACTGCTTCTGTGTGTATGTTCCCAGGATGTTTGAGAGGGGAAACAGCTCCCTCTGCCCACTCCTTGTTGTCTCTTGAGACTTAGTGATAACCTTCTTGTATGTTCACCCTTGATATCCTGTGACGTATCACCTCATTTAGAGAAAAAGATTTCTCCATCTGGGTTGGTTCCCGGGGTAGCCCAGGGATCTGAATGCTAATATGGTATGGGCTTTGAAACCAGAAGTAGATCTGGCTCTACCATGCTAAACCCTGGGCCCTTAAATAAGAGGCAGTGCTACCTGCCTCTCAGGGCTGCTGGGAGGCTCTGTGCGTAACCTTGTAAAGGACTTGTGTATGCCCGGCCTGCAGCAGGTGCCCAGAGAGCTCCCTCTTTGTGGCCCTGCCAACACCAGGTCTCTCCAGGGCACTGGCAGCTCTTGGCACTAGGTCTTTGTAGTCTTTGAATGAAGAGGGCTGCCCTGCTGGCTCCTGGCTGGCTCTGAGGTGTGGGTGAGGGTGCTTGGAAGGGAGGGAGGATGCAGGGCATTAATTGGGCTGGGAGAGGCAGGGAGGGGAGGCGTGGGTTTTGAGCAGTGAGGTTAATGGCCCTCGCGCCAAAGAGACAGCTTTAATGAGCTTCAGCTGGCGGTGCCCCGAGTTACTGTGCGTGCTAAAAGGGTCGCGCTGTAAGAGTTTGATGTGGACTGCTTCCCAGCCCTGGGGTCAGGGGTCAGCTCCTGTCACTGGCCACTCAGGCTGGTCCTCAGTGACATGGTGCTAATTAACTGTGTGAGGAGCTGCCAGCCTGGAGTAGGGAGTGGTATGTACATTGGTGGTGGTGGGTGGGGGGGGGGGTGAGACAGCATTGGGTGATGCTGGGCAAGGGTTCTGCAGAGCCCACTGCTTAGCCATCTCTAGAGTCTGCTTGGTTCTTCCTCAGTGCCACGGGGATATGGCATTGATGGTACAAAAGTGCTGAGAGAGCAAGGAGGAGGGCTTGCTGGAGCAGTGGGGTGACAGGTGTGGGGCTAAGAGATAAGGCTGAAGGAAGCGAGAGGGCCAGCTGGCATCCTGAGGTGTTTGAAGGGGAGCCATGGGAGTACTGGGGACAGGAGAGCAACCAGTAGGAGTTGTGCTTCAGCCAGAGCAGTCCCGTAGTTTGTATAGGAAGAACTGGTGAAGAGTCTGCGGACAGGGAGGCCAGTGGGAAGGTACAATAAGGTAAGCGAGAGGTGATAGGCAATTGAGAGCCAGGGCAGTGATTATGAGAATGAAGACAGGGAACAGGTAAAACTTCTGTTTACTCATTAAATGTTCCACTTACTATGTGTCGGAGCTAGAGATAAATAGGTAACAATGACATACACTGTGCCCTGTCCCCACTGAGTTCAGAGGTAGAATTGTGACCTTGCCTCTGGGCACCAACTGAGAAAGAAGGCAGGTTTGGGCATAGCTAAGGAAGGTCCTGAGGTGGTGGAGTATTGGGCTGTGACATCTTAGCAGAGGTGGGACACTTCCTCCAGGGGTGGTGGACTTAGCCTTGAGATGGAAATGAATAGGGTGGTGCTGGAGTGGGATGTGCATGAGGAGGGGCTGCACATGTGTGTGTAGAGCCACTGGCTTCTGAGGCCACAGCAGCTCTGTCAGCATCTGTGGTTTGGGCCAAATGCTCTGAGGCAGGGCAGCCTCCACAGAGGACTGCTGACTGTTCCTCTTTCTTTCATTTCAGCAAAGAATCAACAAAGTACTCACATTATTTGGGGACATTTTCACACCATTTCCATGAAAGCAAGCATCATCACTCCCATCCTATAGAAGAGGAAAACTGAGGCTCAGTTGAGAGACTCTCTAAAGTCACACAAATTTAGAAAGGAGCCAGGATTCAAACGCAGGTGCATTCAAGTGCAAAGACTATGTCCCTACCACTGTGCTGACCTAGCTTTTTGGTGTTGGGCTTTTTGCTGCCAATAAGATGATACAGAAGATGACAAGTTCACTTCCTTTATTTACCTTTGTGTCATGCAAAATATTTGGGCCTTGACAAAGCTTTGGTGGCAACAGCTGAGGAAGAAAGAAAAGGAGGCATAGCCTTCCATCAGCCCTGCTGGAATTACCCTGAAAACCAGGTCCCTGCACCTACTGACCTCTGTCCTCCTCTGGCCCTAACAGTTCTCCCTCTGAGATTGCAGTTTACTCTTTACCTCTTGACCCAGGAAAATCCTGCCTATCTTCAAGGACCACTTTCTTGGGGCCTCTTGCCTGGCCTTCCTAAGTATGAGTGTACGGAAGACAGGCTTGTTGGCCCATTATAATCTGTCAGAGGCAATAACCTGGCCCTTCATACTTGGGCTTTTTGAGACTGGGTCTGGGCTCCTTCCCTTCCTTTTTTTGGGGAAATCTTCACAGGGAGTATCGTAAAATCTCACCTGCTATTGTGATAGGGAGGCCCCACAGACTGCTGGTTTCAGCTGGCGGGAAGCATAACTGGAACCTTCCTGATGCCCAGCTAGGTGGGCCTGCCCTGGGAGCTTAGCCCCTCTGCAGTTCATGGCCAGAGACCCAATGGACTCTCAGAAGCTTGCTGCCCAGCACCGTCCAGCAAAAGAGCTGGACTGGCAGGTGGCAGGGTGGGGACTTGGCCCCCAGGGGGGCAGTACTGGCCTGTGGTCTCCCCTGAAGGAGTGGGGTGTCTATCAGAGTCCAGTCAGAATGCATTAGCTCTGTGACACGGATCTCATTAGTGCCCGTGAGAGGTGTCACTGCGGGAGAATCGTCGGCTCAGGGAGACGCTTGTACCAAAAGGAAGAAAGGACAGTGACAGCCTTTTCTCTGCCGCCTCTGCCGCCACGCTCACTGGGCCGCCCGCCCTCCTCCTGGTGGGGGGGTGGGGGGTGCTAGCTAATGAGCTCGTCTACAGTACAGCTCTTTGCCTTCCCCTCCTTGAAGTTTCCCAGGTCCCTCTGAAGACCTCAGGCCCTGGATTAGCACACACCAAACGCCAGCCCCCTCTGGCCCAGCAGGGAGTTCC